GGAATGGTTCACTGATCATTGTTTTTCAATCTCCCATGAAACGGAACATCAGTGACCTGAAGCTTTGCTGTTGAATAGTTTCCGTTTTCTTTGGTTTCAGACACATTGCTTACTTAATTCACGCAAAAATTCTAAAAACTGTTCATCCACTTTCCTTTTACACAATAAGATGCTGCATTTATCCGTGATTTCAGCTTAAAGGAAAGCTATGTCAATTCACACGAATGTTGAAACAGGTCTTCAGATTAAGTACCATGCTATGAAGTCTGGAAAGGATGGTCAAATTGTTGCGATTCGTATATCCCAGCAGCTGCTTTAGTTTAATTTTACTCAGGAATATCTGAATCCCCTCCAAAATGTAGAAAATATGTCGTTTCCTGATTGAATTCATATCATATAGCCATTTGCCGTAACAGCTAAAAACAGTTTGTTGATCTCATTTTTTTAATGATGTAAACTGTTTCATTACCTGGTATTCATTTTTGCAATAGCAAGATACACGGTTAAGCAAATTCTGTTGAAAAAAAATATCAGCAAGTAGTTGAGCTTATGGATTACCTCTGTAGCAGTTAAAAAATAATATTTCAACAATATGATACCATCATCTTTGTTCCAACAGGGTCAGGATAATAGAATCGAAAGAGATTATTTTTCAAAAGAATAACAAAATAGAGAATAGAATAAAATAATATTATAGTACGTGTTATCTTCCCTCCCTCTCAGGTATTGCTCATCCATTTAGCAATATAATTTGTCAAGAGCCTCATTTTATATTCCTGCTGAACTTTGGAGCATTCGATTAGTCCACCATATATATATATATATATATATATATATATATATATATATATCAAAATTTGTCTTTTTGCAAGATACATATTTATGTAATGAACGTGCTTTAGAGGCTTTACGCAACAAACCCATCACCCCCTTTTGTCTTATGGGAGCCCTGAAAACCATCCTCTTCACGTTGCTTCTCTTTCAGGCAACAAAAGTCCACGCACAAAAGAATGATTGTCAGTCTCGACTCTGTGGCCACAAACCCCTTCTTAGTACGGTTCCTTTTTCGGTCACTGGCAACAAAAGCTCGATGGCCGTATTGAACCTCCAAAACTCGGGCGATTTTTTTGTTCGCCATATAAACTATCTTTCTCAAGAAATCCAACTCTATGACCCGGACAACTGCCTTCCGAAATGCTTCTTGAGCTTGAACCTCTCGAGCACTCCTTTTACAGCTGAGTACTCGGAAGACTACACTTTCATTAGCTGTCCACACAAGCTGACTGCACCAACTTCTTTTACCACCATTGACTGCCTTAGTAATTCGACTGTGTCGGTAGTTGCAGCTTTAGCCACAGATGCTGCTCGGCATTTGAATACATGCAGCTATAGCCGAGTGATAAGATTTTTTGTTTTCCTGTCCTGGAACAGGTAAAGGTTTTCATTTCTTTCCTTTTTCTTTTTCTTTTTTTTTTTTGAGTTGTCTATCTGGGTTTGACATAGTTCACAAGTATTTCGCAACTAAACAGGCGACATAACTAGTTTAGTTTAGAAAGGACTTGTAATCTTTCTGATCGGGTCAATATATTCTTTGTGGAGAATGTGGTTGTTGGAAATATGACACCAGAATACCAAAATGATTAATGATAGGCAGAGGAATGTCTAACAACTGTTGGAAAATTGTGAATGAAAATTGTAACTGAAAATTAAATTTTGAAACCGTGTATTTCATCTCATTGTAACTTGGTTCATGCTACAAGATTAATCTTTAACTCAACTTTATTAAATTTTGAGTTAAATAGATTAATTAATGAAAGTGCAAGTTTTGAGTTAAATGAACTATTAATAAATTATTTATTAATGTGCCTTGTCTTATAAGTATATAAGGCTTGTCTTCTTTGAGGAAAAAAGACACGAGAGTGAAAAACACAATATTCAAAAAGGCTTTTCCCCATTTTAAAGTGTTTTGGTCCAGGCATAATTCCAGTTCGCCGGATTAGTTTCGGTTCTTCCGTTGTATACTGGGAAACAGACGCTCATACGGGGCGAATCTGTTTTAAGGACACTGTGTTCTCACAGGCCTCGGTATTTTTTATTTTAGCCATCTTATTTTCATTTTCCCGATACAGATCCCTTACAATCTTAAAACAGATTCTGATTAAAGATGGCTGTTGAACAAAATACTATTGGTGTTGCTAATATCGGTGGTGCTGCTACAATTACTATTTCTCCTTCTGTTAATGTCCCGGTAAATCATGCTGATAAACCGGAAAAATTTAATGGCTTGAATTTCAAGCGCTGGCAGCAAAAGATGTTGTTTTATCTTACTACGTTGAACCTTGCGAGGTTCTTGACGGAAAATCCTCCAAAGTTGGGGGAAAATCCGGATATTCAAGCTGTGAGTGCGCTTGATGCATGGAATCATTCAGATTTCTTGTGTAGAAATTATGTAATGAATTGCTTGGCCGATACGCTGTACAACGTGTACAGTTCTATCAAAACAGCGAAGGAGCTGTGGGAGTCTTTGGATAAAAAATACAAAACCGAAGACGCTGGAGCCAAGAAGTTTCTTGTAGGCCGGTTTCTGGACTACAAGATGGTTGACTCGAAGACTGTAATTAGTCAAGTGCAAGAGCTTCAAATAATCTTGCATGACATCCATTCCGAGGGAATGGTAGTGAATGAAACTTTCCAGGTGGCTGCCATAATTGCAAAGCTTCCACCGAGTTGGAAAGATTTTAAAAATTATTTATTACATAAGAAAAAAGAGATGACTGTTGAAGAGCTCGTTGTTAGACTTCGAATTGAAGAAGACAACAAGGGCTACGACAATAAATTGGTTAATCCTTCTTTTGCCAAGGTTAATGTTGTCGAGCACGGTGAAAGCTCACGTAAAAATAATAAAAAAAAATGTGGCAATACTGGCAAAGCAATAATGGGGCCAAATAAACAAATTTTCAAGAAAAAATTTTCTGGAAATTGTTATAATTGTAATAAATCTGGCCATAAGGCATCTGATTGCAGGTTGCCAAAGAAAAATCAAGAAGCCCACATGGTGGAAAACCTGGCTAAAGATGTTGATGAGATGCACCTCGCAGCAGTTATATCCGAGGTAAATCTGGTGGGCTCAAATCCACATGAATGGTGGATTGACACGGGTGCTACCCGTCATGTTTGCTCAAACAAGGAACTGTTTAATGTCCTTGACGAGACAGTGGATGGAGAAAAGCTCTTCATGGGAAATTCTGCCACTTCTGACATCAAAGGAGTGGGAAAAGTGGTACTGAAGATGACATCTGCAAAAGAATTGACTCTTAATAATGTACTTTATGTACCAGAAATTCGTAAGAACTTAGTGTCTGGTTCTTTATTGATTAAACATGGTTTTCGTGTAGTGTTTGAATCTGATAAGGTCATTTTGACCAAAAATGGAGCATTTGTAGGGAAGGGTTATGAATGTAATGGGCTTTTTAAGCTCAATGTGATGACAATTAATAAAAATGTTAATCCTTCTGTTTATATGCTTGAGTCTTCCATTGTGTGGCATGGTAGACTGGGACATATCAATTATAATACCCTGCGCAGGTTAATAAAATTGAAAAGCATACCTATGTTCCATATTGATTCAAAACATAAGTGTGAAACTTGTGTTGAAGCAAAATTGACACGATTACCATTTCAAACTATTGAAAGAAATAGTGAACCACTTGATTTAATTCACACTGATGTATGTGATTTAAAAGCTGTCACGACACGTGGTGGAAATAAATATTTCATTACTTTTGTAGATGATAGCACTAAATTTTGTTATGTGTATCTTCTCAAAAGTAAAGATGAAGCGATAGAGAAATTTATTCTCTATAAAAATGAAGTTGAAAATCAACTAAATAAAAAGATTAAGGTGATAAGAAGTGACAGAGGAGGTGAATATGAGTCACCTTTTGCTGAATTATGTGCCCAACATGGGATAAGACATGAAATGACAGCACCATATTCACCGCAACAAAATGGGATTGCGGAAAGAAAAAATCGTACTTTAAAAGAAATGATGAACTCAATGTTGTTAAGTTCTGGACTTTCACAGAACATGTGGGGGGAAGCTGTATTGTCAGCAAATTACCTTTTAAATAAGGTTCCCCGTAAAAAGTTAGACAAAAGTCCATATGAATTATGGCATGGAAGACCACCATCCTACAAATACTTGCGAGTGTGGGGGTGTCTGGCAAAGGTAGCAATACCTACGCCAAAGAAAATAAAGATTGGACCAAAAACGGTTGATTGCATATTTATTGGATATGCACACAACAGTAGTGCTTATCGTTTTCTCGTACATGAATCCAAAATTGAGGAAATTCATAAGAACACGATACTTGAATCTAGAAATGCTTCATTTTTTGAGCATATATTTCCACGTAAGTCTGAAGTGGATTCTAGTTCCACTAAAAGAAATTTGGAAATAATGGAAAAAGATCAAGATGGATATACTGAGGTAGAACCTCGGAAAAGCAAAAGAGGCAGGATAGAAAAATCTTTTGGTCCAGATTTTCTAACCTATATGGTTGAAAGCGAACCACAAACGTTTTCAGAAGCAGTAAATTCTTCTGAAGGACCTCTTTGGAAAGAGGCAATCCAAAGTGAAATTGATTCCATTTTGCAAAATCACACATGGGAGCTAGTGGATCTTCCTCCTGGAAGTAAACCATTGGGCTATAGGTGGATTTTCAAAAGGAAAATGAAACCCGATGGAACAATTGATAAGTATAAGGCTAGACTTGTAATTAAAGGTTATAAGCAAAAAGAAGGCCTTGATTACTTTGATACATATTCTCCAGTAACGAGGATAACATCCATCAGGGTGATTATTGCAGTTGCAGCTTTACGAAATCTTGAAATACATCAAATGGATGTAAAAACGGCTTTTCTAAATGGAGATTTAGAAGAAGAAATTTATATGGAGCAACCTGAAGGGTTCTCTGCTCCCGGGCAAGAGAATAAAGTTTGCAAACTGGTTAAGTCTTTGTATGGATTAAAGCAAGCTCCGAAACAATGGCATGAAAAATTTGATAATGTCATGGTTCAAAGTGGATTTAAAATTAATGAATGTGATAAATGTATTTATGTTAAAGACACATAAAAGGGTTATGTAATCCTATGTCTTTACGTAGATGACATACTTATTGTTGGAAGCAATGATAAAATTATTAAATCCACAAAAGATATGTTAAATTCAAGATTTGACATGAAAGATATGGGTCTAGCTGATGTGATTCTTGGAATTAAAATTCATAGAACATCACAAGGAATTGTTCTGAGTCAGACACATTATGTGGAGAAAATCCTTGAAAAATTTAACAAGGATGATTCGACTCAGGCTAGAACCCCGATAGATACAAGTCAACATCTGTCGAAAAATAAAGGTGAAAGTATTTCTCAAGTCGAATATTCAAGGGTGATAGGGAGTCTGATGTATCTAATGAATTGTACTAGACCAGACATCGCCTTTGCCGTGAGTAAACTAAGTAGATATACAAGTAATCCAGGAGAAGAACACTGGAAAGGAATTGTAAGATTACTCAGATATTTGAGATATACTTGTAAATATGGTTTGCACTATTGTAAATATCCAGCTGTAATTGAAGGCTATAGTGATGCCAACTGGATATCGGATATGAAAGATTCTAAATCCACTAGTGGATATATATTCACTTTAGGAGGTGCAGCTATATCATGGAAATCTTCTAAACAGACTGTTATTGCAAGATCCACAATGGAATCTGAATTTATAGCATTGGACAAAAGTGGAGAAGAAGCGGAGTGGCTTCGCCATTTCTTAGAAGATATTCCGAGATGGTCAAAGCCCGTGCCAGCTATTTGTATACATTGTGATAGTCAATCAGCTATTGGCAGGGCTCAAAGTAATATGTATAATGGTAAGTCTAGACATATACGTCGAAGACATAATACCATTAGACAACTACTCTCAACTGGTACTATATCTATTGACTATGTTAAGTCAAAAGAAAATCTTGCGGATCCGCTAACCAAAGGGTTAAATAGAGAGTTAGTTGCTAAATCTTTGAGAGGAATGGGACTTAAGCCTCTAGAAATGAGTTGATACAATGGAAACCCTACCTTGTTGACTGGAGATCCCAAGATTTTGGTTCAAAGGGACAACCTAATTGTAAAAAGACTCTAGTGATCACTGTGGGATATTATCCCATGTCCATTCCTTAAACAGTGATACCCGTGGTGAGTAGGATAAGCATTTGGCTTTTAATGATTCTTGTATGGGAAGGTAGTACGGGCTACTTGTAATTAAGAATCACCTATGTGAGAGAGAAGTGGGGCCGCTTCGAAGAGAATTGTGTGAGGCTCAATTCTTAGACCCTCTCACAGAACCAGGCTATGTCCATGGCCACTAATGGATATAATAATGAGAACTGGAATATGTTAGGGAGAATCTTGTGTGAAGTATGTTTATCGTTTACACAAAAGGCAGAACAGTTCAAAGACATCGCGTCTACTGGTCAGCTAGTAAAGTTAATGTACTATCACAAGGGAAGGTTCAAAGGGTAACACCTACCTATCCTATGCATGTTTCAACTGTTGGACCATAACATTATTTTTCAGTTTCATTCATGTGGGGGATTGTTGGAAAATTGTGAATGAAAATTGTAACTGAAAATTAAATTTTGAAACCGTGTATTTCATCTCATTGTAACTTGGTTCATGTTACAAGATTAATCTTTAACTCAACTTTATTAAATTTTGAGTTAAATAGATTAATTAATGAAAGTGCAAGTTTTGAGTTAAATGAACTATTAATAAACTATTTATTAATGTGCCTTGTCTTATAAGTATATAAGGCTTGTCTTCTTTGAGGAAAAAAGACACGAGAGTGAAAAACACAATATTCAAAAAGGCTTTTCCCCATTTTAAAGTGTTTTGGTCCAGGCATAATTCCAGTTCGCCGGATTAGTTTCGGTTCTTCCGTTGTATAGACGCTCATACGGGGCGAATCTGTTTTAAGGACACTGTGTTCTCACAGGCCTCGGTATTTTTTATTTTAGCCATCTTATTTTCATTTTCCCGATACAGATCCCTTACAACAACAACAACAACAACAACAACAACAATATACCCAGTATATTCCCAACAGGTTGGGGTCTGGGGGGTCAGTTGTACGCAGACCTTACCCTTGTAATTATACAAGGGAGCTGCTTCCGTAGCGACCCAAGGTGCATTGCGCCGTTTGATATATTTTTTTTTCTAGAAACTCCACTAATAGAAGAAGCACTAGAATTTAATTGAGCCATTTTGATCTAGTCTATTATTAGCACTATGCCAGGAGAATTGTCAACAATGACTCTTCCAGCTCCATTTGCAATGGACAAGAGAGGAATGTCTAAAAGTAAGGTAATTACAGTATGTAGCCCTTATGTTTCCCTAATTTATGGAAAAAAAAGACACAAATTAAAATCTTTTTTTTATTTACTTTTTACGTACATGTTGTACACTTAAATAAGGTCTGCGTACAACTGACCCCCCAGACCCCAACCTGTTGGGAATATACTGGGTATGTTGTTGTTGTTGTTGTTGTGTTGTACACTTAGATAAATCAGGAACTAGTGAGGTGAAGAAGGCAAAAACTCAAGTTGGTATTTACAACATATTGTTCTCTTGTAGTTAAGCTGCACCTGATCAGGGCCGTCTCTGTGCAATGTTAGAAAGAAAAGTTGACATGTTTAAAAGATGACAACTATAAGATTGATTTACTTTCACAAGTTTTTGAACTCCATACAGGCAAAGGCAACTCACGGGGTTTGAAAATTTTCAAAATAATCGCACTATCCATAGTCATACCGAGCGTGGCATCAGGCATGTTCAATATAGGTATAGTCGGAAGCAGGGCTGCTCGGCATATGGCCGCCATACAAACGCCACATCAGCCAGCAGCAAGAGGGCTGGACGAGTCCACCATAAAGTCATACGAGAGATGGTTGTTGTAGGAGAGAGCCAGCGCCTGCCAGGGCCCAATAGTGCCACGTGTCCCATATGCTTGGTAGAATATCACCCAAAAGACAAGCTAAGATGCATGCCTCGCTGTAATCACTGTTTCCATTCTGATTGCGTGGATGAGTGGTTGAGATTGAACGAATCATGCCCCCTCTGCCGCCGTTCTCGGTTCTCCTTTGCCTTCTCGACCTCATGCATGTCATTTAGAGATTTTTTGTTTTTTTTTTCAACTTGTTCCTGAATACTGTAGGGTGTTTGAATAACAAAAGATAATGTATTATGCAGTGTTTTAAATACCGTCTCGGTAATCATATCAGATGAGCCAACGGTACGCAGGTCAACCGGTTTTAATTACCGTCTATTTTACCGGTTTTAATAAATATTAAATTAATTTATTGTTATATTATAAATAATTTACAAAACAAACTTTAATAATAATGTAAATAACATATTAAAATTAAGTATAGAATTTTTATTTTATATAAATAAATTAATAAAAATATATTATAAAATATTTTTAAAAAAATATTGGCATAAATCGGCATTTTGATCGGTATTTTGGCCGGTATTTGCCGGTAAAACCGGTATTTTCCGGTATGAAACCGGTATAAACCGAGGTTTTGGCCAAAACGGTATTTACAGTATAACCGTACTGGTCGGACCACCGGTATCCAGTATTACCGGTAATACCGGCCGGTATGATACGGTATTTAAAACATTGGTATTATGTAGTATTTTCGATTAAAAGTTCTACATGTAATTGTGTGATAATATTTATTAACTTAATCTTCCTTTCGTCTAGCCCTTCCGCCGCGACGTTGCGACTCTACACACGCCCCTTCCGCCAATCTCACTGCCCACCTATTCAACAGTCTCACCGGAACCAAACCTTAGATTTTTTAGTACGAACTCGTATTTTCCTGTTAGTGGCATTTCCCGACGCTCGTCTCCGTCCGCACCCACACCATGGCGGTCGCGGCCGCCACCTCGTTCTCCAAGCATCCAAAAGCTGATGGCGTCTGGGAGGGCGCCGCGTCCAGGGGTAAGGTGACGGGCGCCGCCATCGTCTACATTGACTTTTGTTAAAATTTATGTAATAACAACATTTATGCATTGAGGATGCTCTAGGTAAGGTGGCGGGCGCCGCCATCATCTGCATTGATATTTGTCAAAATTTATGTAATAATAACATTTATGCATTGGAGATGCTCTAGGGCATCTCTATTATTTTTGACATTATAAAAAATCATTCATATAATTAACTCATGGTTAGGGATGGAAAAATGACTTGAGCCTTGTTCGACCCGACCCGGAGCATTTGGAGCATAATTGGCCTTATAAAACGGGCCGGGGCATTTCTGGCCCGTTAATAAAACGGGCCAATTCCGGATTCTAGGTATTGCCCGGCCCGATCTGCCTCATTGCCATCTCTACTCATGATCTCTTTCATGATAATATTTAGTTTAATATCTTTTAACATGATAATATTTAGTTTAATATTTTATTGTCTTGTATCAATCAACTATTTAAATTGGTTAATCTATACAAATAATTTTTTATTAAATTGAAACTTCGGATATACTAGTTTAATTCAATATTTTAGCATTTTAATATTATTATAAGTGGATTAAAATAGTTGGGACTTCTCCGTAAAAATTTTCAGTATTCACCGAAGAATCTCTCTATTTCTGTATTTTTGCTAGAACAATTGCCAAGTAAATCACGTTGGTCAGTTTGCGAGGATTGATAGTACAGTGGAGGCTGTTAATTCTGCAATTCAGTCAATTAATTTGAAGGAGATTTAGTCTGAGATGAAGAAAAATGGTAGCGGAGCCAATATATCGGATAAGGGTCGGTCCCTTCCGGCTGACCCGAATCTCCCGCGGTTCCTATGCCAGAACTGCCGCCACAGCCTCTGCATGGTCGGCCTCGACTCGCACGCCGACAAGTTCCTCGCTCCAGGTCAGGCTTTTCTGTTTATGAAATCATCTAATTATGTATTTTATTATTTTCCCCCTTTTAGTCTTTACTTGAACTGAGCCAAGGAATTCTATACTCAAATCACTCTTATGTTCAATTATGCTTTGCTAATGTGTTTTCCTTGAGAAATGATATCTCCGTCGAGTCCGATTGAATGGGGAACTCTTTTTCTTTATTCCATTATTGAAATGACTCCATTCACAGCTTTGTTTCCTTGATGGTTTTAATTGTTGATTGATTGATGCATTAATTTGTATTATATCTGTTGTTACTTTTCTCCTTTCCTGTTTTCTCGTCGCTTATATGCTTGACCTCATGGAAACTTTTCAACCTGTTTCTACTAGCTTGATTGTGAGGATCATGCAGTGCTTGTCTTACTGTAAATTCATTGTCAGGTGGGGAAAATACCTTTTTTTTTTAGTCTATGTTCTCACACAACTAAAAATATGTTTATTAACTTTAACCCAAAACATAAGATGTTTGCCCTTTACTTAAAAGACAAGAACAAGAGATTGTTGAGACTCCTGCTCCTTGATGTAGTAATTGTAAGTGTGATTTTCCACATGAATGTACAGGAATGCAAGGTTCTTCAATCCTTGGAACTGGTAGTGTTGTAGGCTCAACTCGAATGGACCACTCTTTTGTAGTATTGCCAAAGCAAAGGAATCAGTCTCCCGGAGTTCCTCCTCGACCTCGAGGTGGGCCTTTGCACCCTGAGGTTAGCCAGTCTGGTAAAGCAATAGACGAGTCTTTTGTTGTGTTACCTCCACCAGCTGCTTCAGTGTATAAATGTGAGCCTGGAGCTGATGGAGGCGGAACGAATTTGCCTTCGCCTGATGGTGGGCCAATTGATTCTCCTACTCAGCCGCATAATTCGGGCTTCCACTCCACCATTACAGTCCTGAATCGGGCGTTTGAGATAGCCACAACACAGACTCAGGTGTTTCCTGATGTATAATATCCTTGTTTTTGGGAAAATGAAAAATTTTCTTTCATGCATGCTGTTTTCATTGTCAATTTTTTATTCCTTTGTAATTGTCTTTGTTCTTCTGTCAGGTTGAGCAGCCTTTATGCCTTGAGTGCATGCGGGTTTTGTCTGATAAACTTGATAAGGAGGTGGAAGATGTGGACAGGGACATCAAAGCGTATGAAGCTTGTCTTCAACGTCTGGAGGGGGAAGCAAAGACTGTTCTTAGTGAGGCCGAATTTCTTAAGGAGAAGTTGAAGGTCTTGTTGTCCAACCTTTTTGTGATATTTATTTATTAAATACGTTTATAAATAAAATAAATTATCTCTGAACACTTTGATAAGTCTGTTATGAAGTCATTTTGTGTGGATGATTCCCATGATGAAGACCAGATGCCGGGAAAGGCAGAGAACAGGAAGATTATATGATGCATTTGTTAGGAACTTACAAACTTTTTAATCAAAGCAAAGCTGAAACAATAAAATCACTTTGCATATTGCTCATGAAATTTTGCTGTTACAAGCAATTGTGTCCTGATACTTTGTTGTAATGAAAGATAGAAGAAGAAGAACGAAAACTTGAAGCAGCAATTGCAGAAACTGAGAAACAATGCTCAGAGGTAACAGCTGAACTGAAGGAACTGGAGTTAAAGTCTAGCCGGTTTAAAGAGTTAGAAGACCGGTAATTCCAATTGAAAAACCTGTGTATTTGAGTTGGTTGTTGTGAATTATTTTAATTATGAGTATTCTCTTGCTCAGATATTGGCTGGAGTTTAATAATTTCCAGTTTCAACTGATTTCACATCAGGTTCGTTTTAGTTGTCCTTCATTCATCCGTCATGTTCCGCCTGACAGACAACATCAGTAGTGCTAGCTACTGTCTATAAAGATATATCAGTGGAAAAAATACATTTTCTGAACTGCTATTATAGCAATAGTTT